AATGGCGTGCCCTCCACAATAAAGGCTTGACTCTGGGGGCGGACTCCCCAGCGTCACACCGCACTTTGTCCACAAAAGCCACTCAAACAAGAGCGAAGTGGTTCCGGCAGTGCCTGCACTGGCAGGCAACAATCACAAGGAAAAAGAAGCCACAGGTCACAGAACCCAAGACCACACCGCCGCTAACTTATAACGCTAAGTTAAGGATCGGTGCCCTAAATGTACAGGGTATGGCAGACACACTTAAGCTAAAATCTATCATACAATTGATGGAACAGCACAAGCTAGGTGTTGTCACATTGAGCGAAACCCGCAGTACCTCATACTATTCCTATTTATCCGAGCAACACTTGGTCATCCTTTCGGGTAACACAAAGGATAAGTACGCAGGCATAGGCGCGGTAGTTCACCCGCTTCTCAGGCCACACCTTGTAGATGTCGTCCAGGTCAACTCGAGGATCATACATCTTATTTTCAATAAGAAGGGCGGCAAGATACATGTGATAGGATGCTACGCTCCACATTCAGGGCATGACCTCGATACAGTTAGACAACCTTTCTGGGATGCTTTGGAAGAATACACCTCTAAAATACCTCAGCCCGAACCTATCTATATGACAGGAGACTTTAACGTTCGTTTCCAGGCTCAGCACAAAAACGATAAGGGAGTCACGGGACCTTATGTGTACGGCAAAGGTGCCAAACACATTGACCACACCGCCTCCTCTAATCGTAGTTTGTGTGTGCGCTCTATGTTGCTACAGGGTATGGTGGAGGTAGCTTCTTACAAAACACCGAACCCAGTGCATCAAATAACATATCGAGACAAAGCTGCCCCTCCGAACGACTGGAGTCAATTCATTCTAGATCCCCTCATCATGCAGCAACTCTATCATAGCATTCAGCAACGTGATGCAGAGCAGGCTCTCGAAGTAGCCGCACGTATCAGGTCCTATCTCCCGCTGGACGCACCATTGCCACCACCGCAAAAACAACCACACCCAGACCCGACTAGGTTTCAGTGTCTAGACCACACCTTTACCAGGAAGCAATGGTTATCCTCGGTTAACTCATGTAGATCCAAACTACACACAGGGTTTCCATCAGATCACTATTTGTTGGTGACGGAGGTACAGGTCAAGCTAGCGCAAAGATGTCACTACTCAGCCCCTAGGCCCAAGCTTAACCTTACTCAGCCCTCGGATGCCCAGAAACACGAATTTAATGAGGCTCTTCGAGCAGTTTTGGGGGCAACCCCGCAGACCACACCGCAGAACCCCCACCCAGTCAGTATTACATTCTACACAGACGGCTCGGGTACTAAAGGTCGTTGTTCTAAGCACACACCGGCGGGATGGGGGTGGTGCTCACCACAGGGTGATTCTTGGTTGGAAGCGTGCGGACCGGTTATAACGTCCTCAGACCATACCGCCTTTGTGGGAGCCAATGTTGGCTCTAACAACACTGCAGAGGTTAGTGCTATCATAGAAGCTCTCATGTTCGCCATCGAAATGGAATATGATAGGGTCACCATACACACGGACAGCGCATGGGCCAGAAACGTTATTCTCGGCAAATGGCGCCCCAAAACGCACAAACAATTAATCCACAACGCCAAAAGACTTCTCAAAACCAAGGATATGACCACAACCATCCTTTGGACCAAAGCGCACGTGGGAACGGAAGGCAATGAGCGCGCGGACCGTTTAGCGGATCAGGGAAAACATCAGGACGAGGCGCAAGGCGGTCGCACACAGGCCCTTACAGCGGACCCGAGACGAGACGCGGAGCTTCAACAAAAGCCGATCGACATCACAGATGCGGCGCTGCACGCGGCCAAGGCCACTTTCAAACCACACCTTCGCCGCAGCAAGAAGCCGTGGATCACAGACCACACCCTTACCCTGCTCGAATGCGCAAAAAAAGCCGAAGCCCAGCAAGACGATAACCTTCGACTTTTGCGCAACCAGGCTAAACGAGC